TCTATATAAAGCCATATAAAAATGATCACGTTTAGCCATAGTTCTGGAAACAGAAACACATCGAGAGAACACATTGTTAAATTACCAAAAATATGAGCTCTACTCTGTAAAGTTATATCTATATTTCATATATATATATATATACGGTCTGGTTGTGCTAAAAGTATGTTTCTGGAGAGGTAGGATTATATCACAGAACTTTAATTCACTTTGTACCTTTTCTTGGAAACAAAGTCTCACTTTGTAGTGCAGGCTGGCCTTGAACTCACAGCAATCCTCCCACCTCAGTCTCCCCAGTGCTGAGATAACAAGCGTGTGTCATCACACTCCGCTGAAAATGAAAAAATTTAGGAAAGTGCCAGGATGTAGCTCAGTGCAAAGGCCCTGGGTTCAAGACCCAATCTCCCCTAAACATACAAAATACAGAGAACTCTTTTTTTTTTTTTTTGGTACCGGGGATCGAACTCAGGTCTTTGCGCTTGTGAGGCAGGCGGCAGAACCACTGAGCTAAATCCCCAGCCCGAGGACTCTTAACTTACTAACTCAGTTCATTCCCTTTGTAACTCAGGTTGGTCAGCTGCCTTCAAAGTCTCTGTCCTGTGTAGTTTTGGGCCACATTTTCTTCCAGGCCACTCTTAGTGTGCTTAGAGAAACACTGGCCCAGGATTTCTCAGTGAACCCCACGCAGGAAAGGATGCTGTAGTGTTCCTCCCAGAACTCTTTTTTTTTTTTTTTGGTACCGGGGATCAAACTCGGGTCCTTACGCTTGCTCAGCAGTCAGCGAAACCACTGAGCTAAATCCCCGGCCCCTCCCAGAACTTTTGAAGGCCTGAATCTGTATCTGAGACCATCTGGAAGCACAAGCAGCCAGCGTTCAGGCTGTAACTCAAGCCTTTGGTGGTAAGTTAAATCCAAAATTTCAGTTGTAACCCAAGTCATTCATATGTCAGGCCAGTCGTAACTCGAGGATCCACTGTACACACACACATACTCCACACATCTCACAGGCTCTGCCGAACATCTGGCTTCTGCTTGCTATAACCTTTATCTGCTCGCTGCCGTCAATCAGAGCCCTAAGGAGGGCAGGAGGAGCCCTGAATCAGCCTTGCAGAGGGGTTCTTGCTGGGCACCCATAGTGCCTCCTGCAAGCAGGTGCCCCAGGACCCTGAGACCCCCGGCTCCACCTTGCTCTGGGCGTGCACTTCCCGGGCAACCAGACCCCAGTGGTGTGGAGAACAAGGCCTCTGCTAGCCACCGAGACACCTCTCACACTGCGTGGACAGAGTGGCCTCCAAGCTGCCCCTGCCAGCACAGTGCTACTTTGATACAGTTTGAGCACAGCTGTAGTTCAGCATGGTAGATCTGCATGTCTGACCTGCAGGAGGTGCTGAGTTCATTTGCCAGCATCCAACACAAAATAAGACAAACAAAACGAAACACTGCGCATCTTAGACACTTCTGCCTATAAAATAGAAACTACCTTTAAAAGTAAGAAAATTTGCTGGGGATGTAGCTCAGTGGTACCGCACCTGCCTGGCAAGTGCAAGGTCCTGAGTTGGATCCCTGGTACTGGAAAAAAAAAAAAGAGAGAAAGAAAGAAAAGATACTAAGTAAAAGAAGCCAGGCACAAAAGTAAGAAAGTTTGGGCAGGGTTGTGGCATACCTTGTAATCCCAGCACTCGGGAGGCTGAGGCAGGAGAGTTCAAGGCCATCTTGAGCTACATATAAGATCCTGTCTCAAAAACAAAACAAAAAACCTACAAACAAAAAAGAAAATGCTAAACACAAAAAGTAGGATGATAGATTTTATCTGGAGGCTGAACTAAGATCATGTAGACAGGTACATGGCATTGCTAAAGTTGGGGGGTTTTTTGTGACAGGGTCTCGATTTGTAGCTTTGCAGCCCAGGCTGGCCTCAAACTTATGACGATCCTCCTGCCTCAGCCTCTCAGAGTGCTGGGATTACAGGCCTGTGTCACCATGCCAGGTCACAACCCTTTTTATTTTTTAATTTCAAGACAGGTCTTGTAAATGACCCGGGCTGGCCTAGAATTTACAATCCTCCTGCCTCAGCCTCCCAAGTAGCATTCTTCCATGACTTGAGCTGCATGGAGGGGCCATGGTGCAATCTAATAAAACACAACAGCCAGCCACACGTAGACTAGTGAGGAGAAATTATCCTGAACCCAAGGTCATGAAGAATCCAATTCTGTACGTCGGATATCCTGTCACGATGAATAAAAATAAAGTGCTCTGGGCTCGCCTAGTTCTGCTTATTTTCGAACTTCCTCCCACAGGGGTGCCAGGGGTCAGCGCAACCCTACTTCTGGCAATCAGCGGCGGAAGTGCACAGGGGCCGGGGGGCCCTATCTGGTCAGCACTGCCCCCGGTAGCTGTCTGTGGTGAGTGCTTCCAAGAAGCCAGCAGTTGAAGGAGCTGAGCAATATTTACAAGAAACACACCCAGCCCCCACTGTGCGCCTCCAGCCTGAGCTCTTCCTCCCCTGGGCTGGGAGGATGGAGGAGGACGGTGTGCGGAGGCACAGAGAGTGGGGTTTTTGGTCCCAGGGATCGAACTCAGGACCTTGCACTTGCCAGGCAGGCGCGGCACCACTGAGCTAAATCCCTGAGTGTTTAACACCGTGCTCACCTGCCCCTGGTGGCTAGAGAAACGCATGCTGTCCTCCAGATCCTGGGCCCAGGGGGGACAGAACCCACGGCCAAGCCACACAGACATTAAGTGTCACAGCAGCTCGAACAGGACCCTCGGTTCCATCTGCATCGAGGCAAAAGCAAACAAGGACAGTCAGGACAGCAGAGTAGTAATGAGTGTGGAGTGCCTGGGTTCAGATTCTGATGTGGCCACTTTTTCTTTTTGATTTTCTGCCACAGGGTCTCGATATGTATGTGGCCCATTTTGGCCTCAAAGTCAAGGTGATCCTCCTGCCTCAGCCTCCTGAGTGCTGGGATGACAGGCGTGCACCACCCAGCCCAGCAGATTTATCACGAACTATTTAAAACAAACCCAATTCTCACCCAGCCACTTTAATTAGCATGTGACCCTACCTTCATCTGTGCCTAGCTTAGGAGATGAAGCATCACTGAGGGAATGGGAGGAGACCCTTCTCCCAGAGCAGGGAACCTCTCCACGAGGCCAGGACCTCATGCGCCCTGTGTTTCTTGCTAATTCTACTGCCAATGTGGCATCCACTGAGGACCAGCACTTGGCTCTGTGTGACATACCCTCTGAGCAACCTGTCCTCCTGGTAGCCCGACCCAGGAGCAGGAGCTGTCTCAGGGTGTGGTAAACTGCCCAGTCTAATTCCAGAGCAGATTCCCAAACTGATGTTCCCAGCCATGCACGGTGGTGCACATCTGCAATCCCACCACTCGGGAGGCTGAGGCAGAAGGATCATCATGAGTTCCAGGCCAACCTGGGCTACACAGTGAGTTCAAGGGCAGCCTGAACTACACAGCCAAGACCCTGTCTCAAAAAAACAAAACGAAAAGCAAACTCATTTCAAAGGACAGAGGCTGAGGGTTTTCTTGATATCATTAGAAGTTTGGAGCAACTTTTAATAGTTCAAGCACAACTTTACTGCAAAGGATGAGGCAAGTCGAGTTCAGACCCCAGGAGGTTGGCGGCAGAGGGCAAAGGAAAAGGGAACCTCAGGAAGGTGCCCCAGAAGCAAGAAATCCTTCCTTCCTCTCCCAGCCACGTGGGGGCTGAGCCAGCTTTGGACCCAGTCCAAGCTCCGGATGAATAAGAGGGCAGACGGGCCGAGGTGTGGACCACCAGCCCGAGGGGCGCATGGCTCCAGGGTCCAGGGGGCTTGTGGATGCCAAGAGGAAGGATGATTAAAACCATGGCTGACGCTTACAGAAAAACACAACAAAATTTACTTTTTTTTGGTACTGGGGACCGAACTCGGGTCCTTGCGCTTGCGCAGCAGGTGGCGAAACCACTGAGCCAAATCCCTGGCAAAATTTACTTTTTTTTTTGACAAGGCCTTGCTAGGTAGATCAGCCTGGCCTTGAACTCCTGGCAGTCCTCCTGCCTCAGCCTCCTGAATGCTGGGATGGCTCCAGGTGCTCTCGGAATTTAGGAATTCAGGACGTACAGGGGGTTCATAGCCTCCATTGCTCAGTCTGAGTTCAACTCACAAAGTAGACGAAAGGCTTTCACAGATCCCTGCAGACACCACTGGCTAAAGATACAAATGAGAACAAGCAGTAAGAAAATGGTCTGCTGTCGATGCGTCTCCACCACTACTGTGAATAACTGAACCTCAATCAATGCCAATGACAGAGGGAACTGGACTCAGAACCCAAGGAATAAAGTGTAGTTTTCCAGGAATGCTCAAAACGGTTTATTTTACAGGATGGAGAAGGGACCTTGCTCTGAACCAAGATTTTTTTTTTTTGGTACCAGAGATCAAACTCTGGTCCTTGTGCTTGCGCAGCAGGCAACAAAACCACTGAGCTAAATCCCCGACCCCAGGATTTTTTTTTTAAAGATAGTTTCTCCATCCAGTTCAGGCTGGCCATGGGCCGGGGATTTAGCTGAGTGGTTCTACCACTTGCACAAGGACCCAGTTCAATCCCTGGTACCAAAAAAAAAAAAAAAAAAAAACAGAAATTAAATAAAAAACCAAAAAAAAAAAAAAAAAAAAAAGTTCAGGCTGGCCTTGAACTACGTAGCCCAGGCTGGTCTCAAACTCCGTGGTCTTCCTGCCTCAGCCTCCCGAGTGCCATCACTAATTGGGACTCCAGTGTATGTGCCTCGCCCACACCAGGCTTTGAAATGCTTTACTGGGGGAGCATTGAGGCCCAGTCACTTGAGCCAACAGCAGCCCCCTGTAGATCAGTCCTGTGGAACAAGACCCTAGCCCCAGCCCTGGAGATCTGCAAAAGGAGGCCCCAGCTCTGCCCCTCATAGCAAGCCAGGCCCTCCCTCCAGGCCCAGCCAGCACTCCCAACTGGACAACTAAGAGCCACAAGTTAAGACAAAAGTTTTTATTCAAAATCGCGAAGTATAAAAAAAAAAATAAGATCTCTTTTATTCCCCTGTACAGTATTCACTCAGATAAAACCAGCAGGCCACATGCTGCTCGAACCCAGCCCCAGGGAGGACCTGCAAGGCACATGCCATCCAGAGCCCTGTCCCCACCTCCGTGCTATGTACAAGTCAGCGACACCCTGGAAGCCAGGGAGCTGCTGCGGGCTGTCCTGCCTGGGCCTATCACCCTACACACAGCAAGCGTCACAGTCCTCCCCAAAAGGTCCCCAAGTCAGAGGAGGAAAGGAGTGGGAAAAAAAAAACACAAGCCCCCCCCCCCAAAAAACCTAGGACAGCAGTTGTGGAAGCGCAGAGCAGGAAGGGAACCAAATAAATAAATAAATAAATACTTAACATTGACCTCCAGGTTAGAATGCGGATCTTTCCAAAAACAGGAAGAAAAAAAAAAACAGGTAAAATAACTTAAAGATTAAAAAAAAAAAAGAACTACAATCCTTTTGTATATTACCATGCCAACTATACACACATTTACAGCTTTTCTGTTTGCATTGTTCGTGCATTGTGTGTGGGTGTGTGGGTGTGTGAGGTCCTGGCTTGGAACAGGTTAAGTAAAAACCAAAGGGGAAGACAGTTCACTGGAGTTTTACTAAGGAGGCAGAAAGGAGGGCGGACGGCTCAGTGGTTGGCCCCAAGCCTCTCCTGTGGCACCTTTTGCATTAAGGAGGGGCAGGAACAGGGGACCCAACCCGGGAAGCAGCAGGTAGAGGCAAGTTCAAGTATTTCTCCCAGGACAGCTGGAGTCCCACAGAAGGCACTCAGAAGAGTCGAGGAGGGACTTCAAATGACACTGGGCCTACCCTGGCCCAGCCCCCACTGCCCAAGGGTCCAGCAGAGAGAGGCCAGGCGCCTGTGAGTGAGGAGCGCACGGCCACGCAGGGGCTGAACTGGGCACCCGTGTGGTCTCTGTCTCCGTCCCCGTCCGCCCCCACCCCCCACCCCCGGGAGGGGGCCCAGGGCCCCGGGGGCTGGAATGAGTTGAGTTGTTCCTGTGTCAAGCACTGTCCTGCCAGGGCGGGCCAGGCTGGGCAGCCAGGTGTCACCGGGAATGGGAAGCTGGAGGCCGGAGCTTCCACCCAGCGGGTCTGGCGAGGGGGGGGGGAGCGCCTGGCCGGAGTCACTATTCGCTGGTCCCCGGGGACAGGCTGTGCAGGTGGATCTCGGCTGTCTCCTGGGGCAGGAGGGCATCTTGCATCCACGGGTGGTTCTGGATTTCCTCGAAGGACGGCCGGTCAGACGGCCGCAGGGCCAGGCACCAGCGGATGAGGTGCTGGCACTCTGCAGAAGCAGGACACAGGGGTCAGGGGCCGCGGGCTCCTGGGGACGCCGGGCCCCAGGCCTCGGTGAGCTCACCACACCTCGCCCAACCCCCTGCCTGCCCACCCACCCCTTGCTCTTCACTGGAGGTGAGAATGCACTCAACCTGGATTCTTCAGGCCAGGCCAGCTAAACAGTGGTTCCCTCTTAAAACCTGTAGTTTCCAAACTTCAAGAGCCAAGGCCTTTTCCACTCAGCCTGCTCAGAAATGGGAAGGTGATGATGCGACACTCAGGAGACACCACCAGGAGCAACAAGGTGACTCACTTCACCCCAACTTACATCCATGATCGCCAGCTGGCACGAGCTCACCCAGACCACAACAAAGGGAGGTAGTGAAAAAAGCCCCGTGATTTTTTTACTCTCTGGGTCTTATACCCTTAGGAGGTGCCAGGGATAGAACCCAGGGCCTTCTCACTGTGCTACAACCCCAGCCTCTCCCATCTTTCTGAGACAAGGTCTTGCTAAATTTAAATTGCCCAGGCTAGACTTAACTCTGAAAGCTGCCTGCCTCAGCCTCTCAGACTACTGGGATTTTTAAAAAAACCTTAAGAACAGTGGGGTCTGATCCCCAGATCAAAAGTAAAACTTTTCAGAGAAACCAGACTGTCTTAATATGCTCGCACTCTGACCTCCCAGGGAAACTCAAAGACATGTGACCTGCCGGGCCAGCTCGAGTGTCAATCAGTGGTCTGTACACGCTAATTCACAGGTCACGGGCCACCTGGCCTGCAGGGTCCCAGAAGTTACCTGAGGAGACCCGCTGGCGGAAGAAAACTTGGCCTCGGATGATCTCCTCGTCGTGCTCGAAAGGGATATCACCACACACCATGTCATAAAGCAGGATCCCCAGGGACCACACGGCCGCCGACCTGCCGTGGTAGCGATGGTAGCGGATCCACTCGGGAGGGCTGTACACCCGGGTGCCTGCACGCCGAGGGAACAGGAGAGAAAACACTCAGCTGAGCTCACCGCAGCAGCTGCGCGGCAAAGCTTTCTTTAAGGAAAAAAAAAGCAAAACACCAACTCCCTTCTCTCAGGAGCTGGGTGAACTCCTGACTTTTGCCTCCTGGGCTAAGAGTAAAGTGGAAACGCAGCAACCAACCCTACTGGCCCAGCCATAAATTAAAGATCCTTACAAACCAGGCCAAGAAACAAACGGCCTCCCGCCTTTGGAGGGCGGGTCCAGACCGTCCCTCCTTTCCACTCGCGGCTGTCTCGGACCAGGTGAGCTTCTCGGCGCGGAGGGCATCCTGGCAATGACCCTGGCAAAACACCCCAAGCCAGGGTGCCCTCTGGGAGGCTTTCCTCCCCGCCCTCCAGCACCGGGGCAGGCAGGCTGGTTTGAGACCACGTGATTCCTGTTTACAAACTTTGGGTAGTAAAAAAAAAAAAGGGAGGTAGTCCCGATGCTGGTCACCAGGGGGCAGCAGAGACTTGAAAGAAAAAACAACACAACATGGGAGGGCCCGGCCAGCCATTAACTGTTAAATACAAAAAATGCAGCCCAGCCCAGCCTAGTCCAGCCCAGCCCAGCGTCTTCCAAGGGCAAATAAACACAAACCACAAGCCCGAATCACAAGTTTTGAAAGGCTGTCGTTTGTTAGGGTAAGCCACCCCGAGAATGACCCACCCTCCTCGCTTTGATCTCGGGCTCCCCAAGCCTTGGGTTCTGAAAGAAGCCGCTCCAAGCCCCTCCCTACGCAAGATAGGTTTTCATCCTCCCTGCGGAGAGGGCCAACTATTCTCCAACCAGCAACAGATCCTATTTCACAACAATCCACTCCTGACTCCCTCGCCCCACGACACCGAAAATAAAAATTTTAGTGAAACGGTTTTTCAGAACCTCCCCCTAGATCAGAAGGTACGGGTAAATTAAAAACTTCCTTATAAGTGAAACAAATTGACCCGCACCAGCGTCAGGATCTCTCCTCCCAACCGCACTGCTTTCCTGGCCGGGAAAGTGGGTCAGACTTTGGAAATCTGGGCTACGGCCCGTGGCCCACAAGCTCTTATTCATCGGGAAAGCTTGGAAGCCACTGAAAAAATTCGATCATGCCAGAAGCATTACAGGTTGCGCCGGCCTGAAATCCCCGGCGGGCGGGAAGCCGTCCCAAGCCCGGCGCCGCGCCCGGCGTCCGATGACCTTTATGAAGGACCGCAGCTGGCAGGCCGCGAGGCCAGCCCGGGTCACCGGGCAGCAACTCACCGTCGAAGTCGGTGTAGACGGTGTCCTTGAGCAGCGCACCCGAACCGAAGTCGATGAGCTTGAGCTCGCCGCGGCTAAGGTCGATGAGGATGTTCTCGTCCTTGATGTCGCGGTGCAGCACCCCGCAGTCGTGGCAGTGCCGCACGGCCTCCAGCACCTGCCCGAAGAAGCTGCGCGCCAGCTCCTCCTGCAGGGCGCCCCTCTCCGTGATGAAGTCAAAGAGGTCCTGCACCGGCTCGGGCCTCTCCAGGATCAGCACGAAACTGTCGGGCCTCTCGAACCAGTCCAGGAGCCTGATGACGCCGGAGAAGCCCGAGCTCACCTTCTTCAGCAGGACCACTTCCATGGGCACGCGGGTGCCATTGGGCTGCGGGAGCGAAGGGGGCCGGGCCGGTAAGCGGGGACTCGGGAAAGGCTGGGCGCGCGCCCCAGGACCACCCGCCCGGCCACCCGCCTCCCGGGTCGCGCCCCGGGCGCTCACCAGCTCGCCCCAGTCGGAAATCCGATCCTTCTCCACGTGCTTGATGGCCACCTGCAAGCCCCAGCACAGCGTCCTCAGATCCCAAGCCTGGCCCGGCCCGCGCCCCCCGCACGCCCGGCGCGGCGCCCCCGGCTCGCCCCCCCGGCTCACCGGCAAGTTGTCGGCGACGCGGACGCCGGAATACACTGAGCCGAAGCCGCCGCTGCCCAGCAGCGGGCCCACCTGGTACTGCGTCTCCAGGGGCTCCTTGTCCTTGCCTGAGGAGAAGAGACACAGGGCGCTCAGCACCGGCCCCGAGCCCGGTCCTGGGGCCGGCGGAGCGGCGGGGCGCGCACTCACCGGGCGCCAGCTTGGTGGCGTGCAGGTCCCCGCAGGGCGCGGCGCGCAGGTGGGCGAGCGAGTTGATCTTAGACAGGAGCATCCCCAGCTCCAGGGCGTGGGCGCGGGGACGCGGCCCGGGGCGGCTGCGGCGCGGGCTGCGGGTGGCGTTGCGGCGGGGGCTGCGGCGGGCCGAGGCTGAGCGAGGCCCGTGGCACCGGCGGCGGGAGGGCGCGCCCGCACGGCTAGGCGGCAGGGAGCGCGGCTGCCGAGGCGGGATGCGGAGCTCGCGAAGGCGGCTGCCGCTGCTGCTGTTGCTGCGGCTGATGCAGACCCCGCCGCTGACTGCGATCCGGCCTCCTCCGCCACCGCGCCCGCTGCTGCAGACGCCGGGCTCGCCCCGCCGCCAGGAGTAAAGGGGCGGAGCGCGCGGACGGGGAGGGCGCGCGGGAGGGCGGGGACGGGGCGGGGCCTCTCCGGGAGGCCTAGGCGGGGAGCCGGGCAGCCGGGCAGGCGCGGGGAGGCCAGGGGGTGGGGCGGCGGCGGGACACTGCGACTCCCCTCGGGCCCCGCCCCCGCGGACCCGCCGCCAGCCAACCAGGGGCGAGCTGATCTGCATAGCCCCGCGCGCCCCGCCCCGCCCCCTGCCCCGCCCGCGCGGTCAGAATGGTCTCGGCGCCGCCTCGACGTGGCGGGAAGGAAAAGGCGCCAAAATGGAGGGGGAGGGGCGCGGCGCGAGGAAGGCGGGAGTCTCGCGGCGGGCGGAAGGGCGGGGAGGGGCGCTGCGATTCAAACCCAAACAATAACAAAGCGTCCGAGGCCTCCGGGCCGGCTCAGCGGCGCTGGGGTTCGCGCAGGCCGGGGTCAAGGCTCGGGCCGAGCCGGGTGGTCCCCGCGTAACTCAGCCGAGGTCTCCGCGCCGCCGCGGGCGGGCGCCGGCCCTGCGGGGCTGCGTCACGGGAGCGGGGAGTCGCCGGCCGGGCGGCACCCGAGAGGCCGGGCCGGGCAGGTTGCCTCCCAGCCCTCCGGAAACGAGTGCGGAGGGGCGGCGGGACGCCGCGTCGCGGTGCGGAAGAAATCCTGACAGCGGTGTCCGGCGGTGGGCCGATGCCGCCTCGGCCCTGCGGAGCAAGACGCCCCGGTGGCGCCCGCGCGCGATGGCGTCAGCACTGTCACGCGGCGGTCACCTCCCCGTCGCCTCCACTCGCGACCCTGCCGTTCCGAGGACCCCGGCCAGGGCTCGAGGAGGCCTCCGCCCACCCGAGGCGACCGCTCGGAGGCCCGAGGCCACCTCCCCTTTGTCCCCGCCGCGCCGATCGCGACTGTGAGACTCGCACGTGGACCCGGCGGGGTCCGGGCCGTGGGGAGCGGACTACAGCCCCCTTCCAAGTTCCTGCCCTTGGAAAAGGAGGAGCTGTCTCCTTGAGTGCATTGCAGCGTTGGCGCCCTGAGTTTGCCCGGGTGCCGCTGCAGGAAGGGGCCCAGACCCCAACCCTGAGGACTGTGTCTAGGAAGTGGCACTGACCCCACGCTGTTGGTGCGCAATGGCCTCCCGGTTCGCTCTGGGTGACTAGGAGACACCCCGGAGTTTAGGAACCAGTCCCTTTTTGCAGGAAAAAAAGAAATTTCCGCGGCATGTCAGGGGCATATGACAGCCAGCCAGGAGGTGACACGGCCCAGATTCCAGGCCTGGGCTTTCCAAGCTTCCCGCTCATCACACCCCAAAGTCCTGGGGACTGAGCAGGACATGGGTTACCAGCCTGAGTGACCCCAGCCCCTCTGTCCACCCCTTCCTCTCTCCAGCTCTCAGACCTAGGCACCCGCACACCTAGTGCCTCCCACAGGTGCTGCCTGGGAAGTTAGGCCAGCTTTAAAACAAAAAAAATAACAGGTTTGGTACAGGGATTTAGCTCAGTGGCACCTCACCTGCCTTGAAGGCACAAGGTCCTGAGTTCAATCCCCGGTACCAAAAAAATAAGATAACTGGGTTGGTGTGGTGGCACACACCTATAATCCTAGTGCCAGGGAGGCTGAGGCAGGAGGATTTTGGAAAGTTCAAGGCTAGCCAGGGCTACACTGTGAGTTCAGGGCTTGCCTGGACTATGTAGCGAAACTCTTTTGTCTCAAAACAAAACAAAGACAGTCTAGCTAAATTGCCCAGGCTGGCCTTCAGTTTGCAATCCGGCCTCAAATTCCAGAGTAGCTGGGATTACTGGTCTGTACTACCACACCTGGGTCCCTCCCCTTCTATTCAAATCATTTCCACCCTTCAGGAGACCTTGTATGTAGTTCTACCATTACACTGGGCCATTGATGCATACCTCTAGTCCCAGCTCTCTGGGAGACTGAAGCAGGAGGATTGCAAGTTCTAGTCCAACCTAGCAATTTAGCAAGACTCTGTCTCAACACTGACAATAAAAAGGGCTGGAGGGCTGGGCATTTAGCTCAGTGGTTCTGCCTCCGCAAGGTCCGGAGTTTGATCCCTGGTATCAAAAAAAAGAAAAAGAAAAAGGGCTGGAGATGTAGCTCAGGATAAATCGACGCTGGGTTCAATCCCCAGTACTGCAAAAAAAAATAGTTTCACCATTTGTTGAACAAGTCCAAGCATTTATTTACTCCCCATCCTACCCATCTGACAATCATGTGAAGTTTGGTAACAAATCTTTTTGTCTACTAATTTACCAGTTATTTATACTGAATCTCTGTTCCTTGAACCCATACTTTATCCAACATATGCTGATGGAAGAGAAGACCGTGACTCAACAGAACAGGATCAAAATCAATTTGTGCAAGCTGTGGGTGGTGCCCTGTACCTGTGATTCAAGGACTCACTAGGGAGGCTGAGGCAGGAGGACCACTTGAGCCCAGGAGTTCTTCACCCTGGGCAACATAGTGAGTCCTCATCTCATCACCAGAAAATGCCCATTTGTGGTCTGGACCTGCACACCAGCCACCAACCGCTTGCCTCTTTTTCTTGAGAGGGCCCAGGCTGGCCTCAAATCCAAGGCAATCCTGCCTCAGCCTCCCAAGTACTGGGATTACAGGCATGTGCCACCATACCTGGTTCTTGAATAAAAACTTATCCATTTAGGGAGAGAAAGTGTTTCAAAATAATCAAATAAAAGCTAGGTGTGAATGTACACCTGTAGTTCTAATGCCCTCAGAGGATGAGGCAGGAGGACTGCAGTCAGTGCTAAGCCAGCCTGGGCAATTTAGAGACTTAGTGAGAGACCCTGTCTAAAAATAAAAAAGTTGTTTTTTCAAAAGGGCTGGGGTGGACCAGGGATTTAGCTCAGTGGTGTCACCTCCTGCCTCACAAGCACAAGGTCCCAAGTTTGATTCCCGGTACCAAATACATAAATAAGTAAGTAAGTAAATAAATAAATAAAAGGGCTGGGGATGTTGTTCAGAGCAAAGGTCCTAGGTTCAATCCCCAGTCTCTCCACCCCCAAAAAAGTTTTATGCATTAAATCAAGTTTGTGGTATGTACCTGTAATTTCAGCCCTAGGGAGGCTGAGGTAGAAGGAACACCACAAGTTCAAGGCCAGCCTGTGCTACACAGTGAGTTCAAGTCCAGCCTGCACTACATAGCGAGTTCAAGGCCAGCCTCCACTACATAGCAAGACCCTCAAAAAAAATAAATGAATAAATAATAAATTCACCAAGTGTAGCGGTGCACCCCTGTAATCCCAGCACTCCACAGGCTGAGGCAGGAGGATCAACACAGCCCAGGACATAATGAGCTCAAGGCCAGCCTGGACTACCTAGTGAGACCCTGCCTCCAAAAAAAATCAATACTAACAGTACTAATAATAATGAATCAAGTTGCCTTGCTCTTTTATTTTCTCTAGATCTGCAGCATTAAATATTTAATTAATTGGATCCTAAATGATTAACATTTAATATACCTGCTTTATTTTTTTGTGTTTTTGTTTTGTTTTGTTAGTACCGGCGATCAAACTCAGGTCCTTGTGCTTGGGCAGCAGGCGGTGAAACCACTGAGTTAAATCCCCGGCCTGTCCTGCTTTATATATATTGGGTACCAGAGCTGGAAGTTACAAATTATGGACCTTGCTTGGCAAAGATCTTTTACTTACTTCAAACTGCTTTCAAAAAAAAAAAAATTATTGATCCAGTTAGCGTCATTCTTTGAGTTAAATGCAATATAATGACGATTCTCAAAAAAAAAAAAAAAATTATAACACATTCAAGTGTATTTTGGGCCAGGGATTTAGCTCAGTGGTTCCGCCGCCTGCCCTGCAAGTGCAAGGACCCGAGTTCATCAATCCCCAGTACCAAAAAAACGTTTTAAAAGCTACTCTTCAAGGATAGGGAATTTAATATTTTGATTCATCAAAAGGTAGTTTTAAATAATTGATAATGTGAAATAGAAAGAAAAGGTTCAAAGGGTTAGGGGAAGTCGGAGGGGTAGGGGAATAGGGAAAAAATAAGAACCAAGATAGTCATGTAAAGGTATAAATTCCCAATGATAAATGTAACTACTGTAGGCCTAAAATGGACCAATAAAAGAATTTAAGGGGAAAAAAAGGTAGTTTTAGGAGCAAGAGCATTTCAAGTTTAAACCAAGCCTGGCAACTTAAGTGATTTAGTGAGATCTTGTCTCAAAATTAAAAATAAGTTTTTTAAAAATTTAAAATGTAATGATAGTAAAAGTAAAGGGGGGGGCGGGACACAATGGTACACGCCTGTAATCCCAGCACTTGGGAGGCTGAGGCAGGAGGATCACTATGAGTTCAAGGCCAATCTGGGTTACATACTGAGACCCTGTCTCAAAAAAAAGCAAAGCACTGCTTGTGCTGTCTCAGAGACTCTAACAATCAGAAAAATAATTAAATGACAAATGCCCATGGATACTAACATTTGTCCAGAAAGAGGAGCATTTGGTAACAACTGAAGTTGAACAACATCCATGGAATTCTTTTTTTTTTTTCTTGGTACCAGGGATTGAACTCAGGACCTTGGCCTTGCAAAGCAGGCACAGTGCCACTGAGCTAAATCCCCGCCCATCCATGGAATTCCTTTGTGGTTTCCGTGTGCTACTTGATACAGATTTAACTCAGTCACTGTTGAAGCGGTGACTTCAGTGCTTTCATAACCACAGAACTTCAGAGAGTTTGAAAGGGACAATTTTTCAAAGTCCTTCTGACTCCAGTCAATGCACTCATTGATTAGCACTGTATTTTCTAAATAAATTTTTTATCATGAATCACATAGAAATAATGTTCATCTGGCTGGGCGTGGTGGTGCAGGCCTGTAATTCCAGCACTCGGGAGGCTGAGGCAGGAGGATCCCTATGAGTTTGAACCTACCCTAGGCTACATAGTTCAAGGCCAGCCTGAACTACATAGCGAGACCCTGTCTCA